CCCGGTGGGTTACTGGGTGGCCTCAGCGCACCCCCTGTGACCGGCGGGAGCCTGGGCTGCAGTCACAGCAAGCCAGAGGGGCCAGGGGCCGTTCTTCTGGCAGGATGTTTCTGATCAGGGCCAAATTCCAGACCACCAGAAAATAAGCTCAGAGAGCAGGTCACCCATCTCCAGCCTGATCCTGCGCATCGTTCACGACTGTTGCTTGACCAGCATCACACGTCTGGCTCCTGGACTGGAGGAAAAACCCCGCTGGCAGCAGCTCCGCAGTGGGGGCTGTGGGTTCCAGCCAGAAACACCTTCCTGGGATCCCGCCCACTAGCAGGGATCCTGGACAGGAAAGAATGACCCTACTGCTCCCACAAGGGGGTGCTTTCAAAGCCCCTTCCCTAGAGCCTGCCCTCCCATAGATGTCCACAGCACACCACTTCAGTTTGAACAGGAGTGGGGCTTTAATGAGCCTGGGCCTGAATCTCCTTTCCTTTACCCCACTGTTGCATCAAGAAGCAAGTCAGGTCATTTGTGTGCATCTAAGGAGGGTTATGCTGCCCCACCTAACATTTTCTGCATAGATTCCTGCATTAGTACCCTTCCTCTCTAATTGCTATCCTATGATCCTTATCTGCTTCCTTTAACTATCCAATCTTTAGGTGCTTATAGGCAGAACTGGTAACTTATTTGTTTTCCCCCTTTGATATTGTCATACCCTCTGCTCCTTGTTTCCCACCCCTTTCCTTTTTTTTTCCTCCTTCCCCTCTCCCCTATTTATTTTGGGTCTGCACATCCTAAACTCAAAACTCTGGTCATCTGAAGCTGTGCCCATGAAAGCTCATGATACCATCTACGGCTACGTCTAGACTGGGCTGATTTTTCGGGAATGCTTTTTACGGAAAAGTTTTCTGTTAAAAGCATTTTCGGAAAAGAGCGTCTAGATTACCACGGACGCTTTTCCGCAAAAGCACTTTTTGCAGAAAAGCATCTGTGGCCAATCCGTGGCCAATTGAGACGCGCTTTTGCGCAAAAAAGCCCCGATCGCCATTTTCACGATCGGGGCTTTTTTGCGCAAAAAACCTGAGCTGTCTACACGGGCCCTTTTGTGCAGAAGGGACTTTTGCCCGAATGGGAGCAGCATAGTATTTCCGCAAAAAGCACTGATTTCTTACAGTAGGAAGTCAGTGCTTTTGCGGAAATTCAAGCGGCCAGTGTAGACAGCTAGCAAGTTTTTCCGGAAAAGCGGCTGATTTTCCAGAAAAACTGGCCAGTCTAGACACAACCTACATGTTTTGTTAGTCTATAAAGAGCTACCAGACCATTTGTTGTTTAAGTTTATTTTCACCATTATGAGCCTTGTGTTTCCCCTCCAGTGTCCTACACCGACTATATGCTTTGTAGTATCTTACACCTGAAAGTCAGTGCTTGCTCATTCCAGCTTCCATCTCCTTACAGCCATGCCCTCGCCATCCTCAAAGTTGAGACAGAAATGTTTGACAAGTACTACAACAAGATGGAGCCAAAGGATCAGGTCAGCCACTTGTTGCCAGATATACATGGATCTTCGCTGGACCTGGGACAGGTACTTTACAGAGCTAGGGAGGTGGTTACTTCTTGTTTGCATCAGGGTCTGCCTGTCAATAGGACTCTGACTATCTAGACACCTCCTGCGCACTTCAGTTCTCATTTTGATCTCTCCATCTTAATATTTGTGTGAAAAGAGGCACGGGGGAGGCGTCACACAAACACTTCCAGATGGGCTTCCCCTTTGCATCTCAGTTTCAAATATACTCTGGATTTCTTGAAAATAAGCGAGTGAAGCAGAAAAGCAAGGTTTTCCATGCAACATCTCTATCTTACAGCCACAGTGCTTAGACTTGATGGGGATGGAGGCCTCAGAAGGAAAGTTAGCTACATGCTTGAGGTGAGATACTGCTGGTCTAGCAGGCATCAGGGTTTGGGCTGTCCCTTGCTGCAGCGGGATTTAGTCTGAAGATCAATCAGTTTTCAGTTTCCAATCCAGCCCCAGAGACACTCTTCTTTTCTCTTATATGAAAACACTTTGTCCTTCCACAGCACGTGCCAGAGACCTGAAAGTGCTTTAGAAGCATTAATTAATTTAGCCTCACAAACCTGTTTATCCACATTTCACAAATTGGGAAACCAAGGCACAAGAAGATCAAGAGACTTGACCAAGGTCACACATGAAGTCTGTGACAGGTCCTACATGTCCTGGACTCTACCTCTTGTTCTTCAGCTAGCACTCTGATTCACCTTCCTCTCGGGTTCTTTGCCACTGACATGTGAGGATCCATGACCTGGGCAGAGCTGAGTCAAGGAATGGGAGTTCTAGTGGCACTCCTCACCATGGGCCTCCTTCCGGATGGTCTGTTGCACTGTCTTGTCTCCACGCCTGCAGCTGAGATTGGAATAGCCTTTTTGGCAGCTTTTTCCTAGATGGAGTGGACTTTAAATAGAAATCTAAACAGCCAAAAAGGGGCTACAAATGGACACGCCAAATAATCTACAAGCCTGATTCTCATTTACACTAAATCCACTTTACATTGCTAATTTATACCCTTTTTGCTGCCAGAGTGAGGCTGGCTTCAATGCAGAGTTAACTCAGATGATCGGCAGCTGGGTTAGGCCAGCCCAGATGTGAACGATCCCATTGCAGAACTCTACCTGAGTTACTGGGTCCTCACTTGTTCTGCACCTACCTGTATGTTGCTGGGACTTCTGGGGGCACTTCCATGGCTCTTTGTGCTGCAGCATGCGGAGCGGCTCTATGTATCTTTCCCAGTGAACTGTGGGAAAGCTTGTCTGTCCTGGGCATGCTAGGGCAAGACATTGAAAGAGTATCAGCATCAGAGGGATTAGTTTGCATCATTGCCAGGTGGGTGCATTTCTGGCTTGGGTGAAAGCTTTGCTCAGGCTTTAGCTGCTAGCCTCATTTAAAAGCATCACCATAGGCGTGCGCAGCACATTTCATTAGGGTGTGCACCCAGGGAATTTTATTTGCTATTGGCGAACATTTATTGAATATTCAATCATAAAGGACATGCTGCGAGCAAACGCGGGCTTTCTATACATCTCTACATGCGGCGCCTATTACATAATACAACAATCCATACTTTAAAACTAAAAGAGCATATCATGCGATTAAATTAAAACGCAAAGCCACTTTTTTTTTGAGACATTAGGGTGTGCCTGGGCACACCCGGCACACCCCCTGCACACGCCTATCAGCACCACCAAACTTGGGTGAGAGAGTTTTGTGTGTGCAAAGGAGTAGGAGGAACACGTGGGAAACTCTGCAGCAAAGACATAGCTACGTGTAAATCAGAATCCAGCCCAATACGTTTCCTAACATAAAAAGGGAAATAAGGACAGCCCAGGGAATTAGACCAGTTATTTTAACTTCAGTGCCAGGAAAGATAATGGAGCAAATAATTAGGGAATCCATCTGCAAACATCGGGAAGGCGATAAGGTGATAGGTAACAGCCAGCATGGATTTGTAAAGAACAAATCATGTCAAACCCACCTAATGGCTTTCTTTGATAGGATATCAAGCCTTGTGGATAAGGGGAAGCAGTAGATGTGGTATATTTACACCCGGGGTCGGCAACCTATGGCAGTGTTTCTCAACCTTTTTTTATATAAAGTACCCCTTTAAAAAAAATTATAAGTACCCCCAGAACTTACAGTTTTCAGACACACATTTTTTCTACCATTGCAACACATTTGTTTAAACAACTTAATTGTAGCCAGGTGGGCAATGAAATTTTGGGGTGTAAAAAGTACAAAAATAATAAAGAGCTGTAAAACTTAACACAAAAATTCAATTTTCTCCAAATTTCAGTTGTGTTGACGTGCCCCCCGGACTTCTCTCCAGTACCCCTAAGGGTGCTCGTACCACTGGTTGAGAAACACTGATCTATGGCACGCTTCCCATAACTGGCCCACAAGCCTCCCTGCCCAATCCAGTGTGCAGTGAACACTAGCGCGCGCACACACACACACACGGCTCCGCATGTTGCCATTTCCCTTCCCCCGGCTGGGACAGGCTCACGCAAGCGCAGCAGCGGCCTCCCTACCATCCACCCCCCCAGAAAACGTAGGTGCCAAGATGGCTTCCAGTGGCATGCGGTTTCCGGAGTTTGGAGCATTTTTCGAGTCCTGGCGAGCTCCTGCCACCCACTGCGGCTGCCCCACCCCTGCACGCCATGTGGCCTTCTCCCTCCCCACGTAGGACTGCCTTTGCTGCGCGAGGCCCCGGTCTGGCCACACCACCTCCTCCTCCATCTCCAAGCGGCCACTTGTCACAGCAGCCACTGCCACGGCTGCCGTGGGTGGGGGGGGCTAGGTCCAAGGCAAACCCCGGTGGAGCTGCTCCCAGATCTCAGTGCCTTGGAGCTGCTGCTTCAGCCCCAGGAGGGGCTGAAGAGAGCCCAGCTGGGGCACTACAAGGCGGGGCGCCCTCAGGCTCAGCAGGTGCGCTCCATGTGCTGCCGTGTCTCTCGCCCCTCCCCACCCCGCTGGGGGAACGGCAGCACATGGAGCCACTCACTGTGCCTCTCTCTGCTGTGAGCCGGGTCAGGCAGGGAAAGTCGGGGCTTCCCCCCTCTCCCACATCCCTGCATGCCCTCGGAGTGGGAAGCCAGAGCTGGTGTTGCAGCCTTGCACCTGCACGGACTCCCTGCTGTGTGGGGCAGGGGGAGCTGAGCTCCTTTTCTCTTCCCACCCTGCTGGAGGAACAGCAGAGCAGTGACGTGTGAGGCTTTCCCCACTGCAAAGGGGTGCAAAGCCAGGTAAATGTTCCCCCCTCATGCCCAAGCCCCCCCCTACTCACTCTCCTCCCCCACCAAGACCCTCACCCCCAGCTTACTCCAACACCCTCCCTCCTGGCCAGACATCCTACCCCCATCCTGTTCCTGCACCCTCCCTTGCTCCTGCTCTCTCCAGCTGGCCAGACACCCTATTCCCAGCTGGCTTCTGCACCCTAACTCCCTCCTAGAGCTCACAACCTCTCCCCCTTCTGCATCCCAGCTCCTGCATCCCATTCCTACTCCACTCGCTGGCAGCCCTGTCTCACATACCGAACCTCTCATTTTTGTCCCTACCCCAGAGCCTAAGGGGGTCCATAAAATCCACTAACGGTGAAACCCAAGAAAAGTAAATCTGGCCTATGGGAAACCCTGAACCTCAGTCCTCTCTGTCCCTTCCCCTCACCCCGTGGGACTGGAGCACCAGAGGAGTGAGGTTTCTCAGTTGGGGGCCACACCAGTGAGAGTTGGGAGTTTTTGGAGGAGTTTTTTTGCTTCTCACTTGTATGGTCCCCAACTGATTTTTCTCTGGGTCAGTGGCCCCTGATCCAAAAAAGGTTCCTCCCCCCTGCCATAAATAAGGAAAACATTGAAACCTTTTGTGTTGGACATAAATGAATATTTTATTTTATTTAAAATGAAGTTTGATAAACTAACACGAGAAAGTTAAAACGCTTAGTCTGTTTAATAATTTAAACTAAACTGTTCTCCCCTGCTGCAGCTGGTTCAGAAAATATGGTCACCGTACCCAGTCTGCCCCTGCGCCCTCATCCCCCCTGCAGGCAGATCTGTAAATAGAAGTGAATAAGTTAAATCTTGGCACACCACTTCTGAAAGATTGCTGACCCCTGCCTCGCAAAAATCCTGCAGTGTAGACGTAGCCAGAGTGTTTGGGTTTGTAACTGGTTGGAAACCATCCCTAGGGGTGTGGGGCCTGGAACAACCCCCCACTCTGTCCCTACCCAATCTTGTCCAGCTCACTCCTCCTCAACCCCTTCCCCCAAACCTCATTCCCCAAGCGACATGACCCAGGGGACTAGCAAGGGGCCTGGCACTGGTAGCAAGGGCTGGGCCTGCCCCTGCACTCACCCGTGGTGGCAGGAAACAGAGTGACCCAGCTCCAGCCTGCTGCTGGTGAGTCCCACCCCTTTTCCCAAGCTCCCTCCCCCAAGCAACGGGGCTGGGAGTCAGCTGAATGGAGCGGGCTGCGGCTGCTGCCATTGAGTGTAGGGGCAGGCTCATACCCTGCTGCTGGTGTTAGGCCCCCCCACTCGTCTCCCGGACTGCCCTGGTCCCCACAAAGCCCCCCAAAGCACAGGGCCTGGGGCAGGTGCACCAAATGATCCTATGGACAGGACGGCTCCGTTTGCAGGGCTGGGTCTGGTTCTATTCAATATCTTTATCAATGATTTCGATGATGGCATAGAGAGCACGCTCATTAAGTTTGCAGATGATACCAAGCTGGGAGGGGTTGCAAGTGCTTTGGAGGACAGGGTCATAATTCAAACTGATCTGGACAAACTGGAGAAATGGTCTGAGGTAAACAGGATGAAGTTTAACAAGGACAAATGCAAAGTGCTCCACTTAGAAAGGAACAATCCGTGTCACACATACAGAATGGGAAGCGACTGTCTAGGAAGGAGCACTGCAGAAAGGGATCTAGGGGTTATAGTGGACCACAAGCTAAATATGAGTCAGCAGTGTGACGCTGTTGCAAAAAAAGCAAACATGATTCTAGGATACCCTAACAGAAGTGTTGTGAGCAAGACACGAGAAGTCATTCTTCCGCTCAACTCAGCACTGATTAGGCCTCAGGTGGAGTTCTGTGTGCAGTTCTGGGCACCACATTCCAAGAAAGATGTGGAGAAATTGGAGAAGTTCCCAAGGTGAGCAACAAAAACGACTGAAACATGTCCTGTGAGGGAAGATTGAAAAAAAAATTGGGTTTATTTAGTCTGGAAAAGAGAAGACTGAGGGGACATAACAGCTTTCAAGTACCTAAAAGGAGGAGGGAGAAAACATATTATCTGCTGGCAAGACAAGAAGCAATGAGTTTAAATTGCAGCAAGGGATGTTTGGGTTGGACATTAGGAAAAAGTTCCTGCCTGTCAGGGTGGTCAAATACTGGAATAAATTGCCCAGGGAGGTTGTGGAATCCCCATCTCTGGAGATATTTAAGAGTAGATAGACATTTATCCAATCAGGGATGGTCTACAATACTGGGTCCTGCCATGAGGGCAGGGGACTGGACCTGATGACCTCTTGAGGTCCCTTCCAGTCCTAGTATTCTATGATTTATGATTCTATGATTTAAGAGCAGGTTAGACAGACATCTATCAGGGATGATCTAGATGGTGCTTGGTCCTTCCGGGAGAGCTGGGGACTGGACTTGATGATCTCTCGAGGTTCTTTCCAGTGCTATAATTCTACAGATCCCTCACAGTCACCAGGGTTATTTCCTTTTCTAAGTAAAAAGAAAATATGGTAACGGCTGGCAAACATTGACCTTGTAATGGTGACCACTGTGAAAGGGTCCCTTTGCTACCTATTTGCTCCTTCAGTCTTTTTATTTCTCTGGATTGCAGACACGTCCCAGACGTAAATCTAAATCCCGTGTTGCAACAGATCGTTTTTTCGTCCTCACCGTGGAGCAAAAGAATGATCTAGCACAGCGGGAGCTGGATGAAACAAAGGAAGAAATTCAGCAGACCCAGGAGAATTCTGAACGGATTATACAGAACTACCAGGTACAGCATTCCATGAGCTGTAGACGCCGTGGTTTAGTGAACAACTGCTTTACATGGCCTCTCTCTTTTTAGCCCCACAGCTCTTATGCTGTGGGAAAGGGCAGTTCCCCCGAGGGAGTTGATTTGCTAGACAGACAAATATCTTCATTTCTCCTAGGTGCCTATAAATTGCTAACACAGAGAGGAAGGTTAGTATGATTTATTTAGCTTTAAGGTTTTTTTTCCTTGACTGCTTTGGAGAATGCAAGAGCTGGGAGGTGAACTAAGAAAGAGTCTCTCTGCTGCAACAGCTGCTCAGGGTGTTTACATGCTCCCTGATGAGAACAAAAGCTACCAGGGCTCCAAACCATTGTCTCGTTCAGTTAGATCATTTGCCATAGAGGCTTCTATTTGCTTTATTACCGACCCAGTTGGCTTTCTTCAGCTTCTTTCCACTGCACAAAGAATGAGGGGGCTGCAGTGTCATCCTGCCAGCGTGGAGCATGGCAGGTAGCATGCAGCTGAATACTGCGATCGCTGCTCTGTGAGCCTTGAGCTAGCGGGCAACAGCCTCTTGGGCAGCAACAGTAGGTGCAGGGCTGCTGCGGGAAAGCAGCTGTACCGAGAGTTCTGAAAAGTGACCCTGCTCTAAAAACGGCACGTTGGGCTTCCATATTTTGGTCTCAGTGACTCCTTGTCCAGTTCTACCCAGTTTACAAGTAAACTGTGTTTTTGCCTAACTTCACTGTCACAGGCTTGCCTGAAGGGGCGGGGCTAGGCATGGTTGTGCATCACTAGTAATAAAAGGCCAGCAATTCGATCTCACGCAGATGTGAAACCAGAGTAACACCATTTAAATCAACGGGGAGGCTCTGTCTTTACATTGGCATAAGCGAGATTCATCTCTTCCCATTATAGAGTCTATCCCAGCAGTTGCTTACATGTCATGCCTTGTAGTTCAGGGGAGGAAATGTTGCAAGTTTAAAGAATCGCCTTTGCCTACTGAGCGGGCAAATTTGCTAGATACAAAGCCTGGAGTGTCAGATCTGCCGGTCCACTTGCCCCTTCACACAGTAAGAGTTTGATTTGGAGGTCTCTAAAAATGGCAGAAGCCTTTAAATAACGGTGTTGCTTGCACTCCTAATTCAGAACATCCACACAAATCAATTTTGAAAAGCTTCTGTGCTCTTAAGGCATCGTTCTTGTCTTACATCCCATCCACTTCCGTGTTAGAAGAGTGAGACAGAAGCTCTTTCATTAAGCTAAATGATTAGAACTTAACTGTATCATCCCGAACATTCACATATTCTTATCAAAATGGTGTTTTGAACACAACCATTCCTGCAGACTTGGAGATATTTGCAGATCAGGGCAGAACTTAATAACCCTGAAACTTAAGTATGATCAGATGTACTGCTTGTCTTGTTCTTCAGTGAATGAAAGATTGGTGTTATTAACAAAACATCACCGCCACAGGGAAAACAGAGCAAAATTCACTGACATCAATGGAGTTATGCCAACAGAGAACTCGGCCCCGCCGTTCCTATACATTGTTCTCTGCCCCACCCCTACCCCAGCCCAAAAATCGAAAGCGAGGGGATATCTCTTTGCTAGAATGTGACTTTGATTCTACAGGCAGTCATGGAAGAAGCAGCTATTCAGTGGGCTGATATTAAGAAAGCTATGAGCAACTTTAACAAAGACATTATCCAAACGATATCCAAGAAGAAAGGGAGTGTCGTAGCTTCTGAGAAGGTGCTGAGATACCTGGAGGAGAAGAACCACAACAGGGTCAGTTCAGAGTTGTGCATTTACACATTTATTATATCCCTGGCTGAATAGTTTAGATACAATCCTGATCTCCTGCATTGGCAAGTCTGTTTGGCTGCCACCCTGTACATTGCAATTCACTGTTACAGTTGTGTGCTGGAAGTTCCAGTTACGTGTCCAGCTACGGTACAGGAGATACGGTACAGGAAGGACTGCAGGGCTCACCCTAGTGGAGGCTGGAGGAGTTGCAGGGCTGATGTATGTGGGATTTGGGTCCGGGACTGTCAGAGCATTGCTACCGATTTACATCCAGGGGTGTGAATGGCTGCCTAGTGGGGATGCTGCCTCCTCTCCTTTTCTGGCCAGTGACAAAGCGTCATGCAAGTTACATAGTGGCGGGGAGGAATGGAAGCGTCATGATATGAAGTGGAGCCGGGGGCTCCACCACACCAGCGGCCAAGACCAGTGACGGTGACAGCATGTTCTGGTGTCTTTTTTAGGATTCGATGAAAGAAAAATTGCGCTTGAAAAACGATTCTCTCAAAGTCCAGAAGAAGAAGTTGCAGCTGCAGCTGAAGCAGGTGTGTGCCAACTGAAGAGCCCCAGCGAGGCTGCTGCCCTTTGAAAACGAAAGCCCACTGCCTACAGAGATTTCCGGGCCTCCCCAAGGAGTCTAACGTTTCTGTGAAAGTTCTCTGCATCTCGTCTTCATGCCTGGGCTTGGCGAGTTTTTATTCCTTTCTTAGTTTATTAAGGAAAGGCCCCAACTTGGAGCCCCTTGTTTGCCGGAGGCAGGCCCAAAGCAGCTTCCAACCTGTGAGCTAGTTGCGCAGGGTGACAGCAGCAAAGATCCTGAAGAGGGGGAATTTGCACCTTGTGTGCCCTGGAGAAGGATCTTTGCAGCTCCTCATGGAGTCCCGGAGGGAGTAGCATGGGTGTTACAGGAGCGTAGCCAGGGGTGCGGCATTCAGGCACAGAAACCAAGATTAAGGGAGCAGCAGGTTGTGTCCATTGCTCCTCTCTGTGTCCTGAGTTAGCAGCCTGGCCAGATTGGGTTGAGGATTCCTCCCTTCAGACTCATCCTCCTTGCAGTCCTCACAGACCAAAGGCCTATGATGTGTCATTTAGCCTCAGGGCAGTGCTCAGCAGTCTCTGCATCTTTGCTGGCTTGCAGAAGGAAGAGATGGGGGAGGCACTCCATGAGGTTGATTTCCAGCAGCTGAAGATTGAGAACGCTCAGTTTCTGGAGAAGATTGATGAGAGGAACCGGGATCTGCTACAGCTAAAACTGACAGCCGGAAACACTCTTCAAATCCTCAATTCCTACAAAGTAAGGTTTTGGTTGCTTCAGGTCAAATGTAGCGTGTGTGTGCGTGCGTACACGTACACACACCACTGTCCCTCACACTCACTCTCTCTCACACACACACACACAATTTTCTGGCCATCTCTTTCAGTCAGACATATTATATTCCTGCTTAACAGCTGTCTGACTTCCCTGTGATACACATGCCACTAGGTGGGGGCTGGGAGTTGACACCTGCCCTGGAATTTTTAGAACAGTTCCTTTGTTGATGGATTTGCCTGTCACAAAAGGATCCCTGTGTTCACCGTGGCCGCTTGGCTGTGTTTTGACACACCCTCCTGTACATGCTTTGTGGCATCCACATGTGAGGGTGTGAAGCTGCCAGCCTTGCAGTGTAGTTATTTTATCCCACAGGGCAGTAAGCAGTAACGTGAGCCCTGACCTAACTAGAGACTTTTGGGTAGCTTTGCAATAAATCTGGCTCTAGCCAAGCGTCTTTAAGCTGTTAACTGTTATGGCTGCTGCAGTTATTTCATCAGCTACGCAGGGTTAAGACTGCCTAGTGCTTGGGTGGGTGATCTTCCAGACCAATTAGGCAGAATCCTCCCCTGAGTCAGTACTGATGTTGGGGCACCGTGCTGTAATATCAAAAGGAGGGTTGTGGCCATTAAAAGTCCATCCCATGGCAGTTTTTGCAAGAGATGGGGTATTAGGCATAGTATCCTGGTCCAAACAACACCATAGATATTTCCAGTGGGCCTTTCACTTCCCCTCCAGTCCTGCCTCCAGCAGGCTTACTGCGTTCCACCCCAGCACTAGCTGCATCTCTGTGGGAGGAAAACAGAAGAGCTCAGTCCATTACCCACTTTTGGATGCCTGGGTCTGGCTACCTTCAAGCCAAAGGGGAGATTTTCACAGAATGCCCAACTCCTGCACGTGGTCAATTTCTCTGGATGCTTTTCTCCTGTTTGTGCCTTTGCAGATCTCCCCGCCCCCCAAGCTGTTGTTAAATTCCCCCCTGCCCTTTCCCGGTGTAAGAGTTTTCCTTTCCTTTTTTCTGCTGTAAGAAATGTTGGGCTGCAGCGGTAGGACACGATATTAGGACCCAGGCTGCACTCCGTCTCAGTGCTCCTTGGTGACGTCTTGGCTACCAAGTAACATCACCCTAGAATGCATTAAACAAAGGCTGGATCCTGAGGCTGCCACCCACAAGGGAAACTCAGAAACGCGATGCCACTTTGATCGACGCATTCTGCCCCACACAGGCAGTCGGGAGCAGAGGCCCAGAAGGCCCAGCCTGAGCTAACGGTTGACAAGACACTCAGTGTAGTGAGTGAAAGGGACTCCAGCTTCCCTGTTCTCTGATGAGCTGGTGCCCTCCTCGCTGACTTTACCGCATTGTGCTGTTTCAGAGAAAGCTGCAGAATGCCACAGCAGCTGCCGCCCGCCTGATGAAAGATATCTCCCAGAGGAAGGAGCTGCTGGAGAAGATGGAAAGGGAAACCACGCTGGTGGAGGAGGTAGGAGGAACATCCGAACCAATCAGCACAGGGATTCTGGGTTCACTCGGTTTTTTAATCCTGAAATTTCAAGTTACGAGACCGTTTCTCCTAAGATTTCCCAATGCTGCAGAGCTGCACAGCGAGCCGGGTAATGAGACACCCCCAGCCTGGGATCCCAGTGCCACAGGAGCAGGGCTGGAGCAAGTCCACCGAGGCAGTCAGCCCAGTTCCGATCACAGCCTCGTTTTGCACTCTTGGAACTTTGTCGGCCTCAGCAGAGTTACGCTGGAGCGACACTCATGGGATCACCAGGCTGTCCCAGGGTTCTTGGCACACTGCCCGTCGCTGGTGCGGCACCGGGAGTCGTCCTCATTGCGGGCGCAGTCGGGAGGGACTTTGAATCGCGAACGGCCAGGAGACAAAGGAGTGAGGATTCTCAGAACAGTGTTAACTTGGCATCATGCTTAGCCCGGAAGCTCTCTGGGGAAGGGGCTGTCTTTTTGTGCTGAGCTTGTACAGCGCCTAGCTCATGGAGTCCTGATCTCCAATGAGGATGCCAAGACACTAGCCCAGTCCAAATAAGAAATGATTATAATAATACCCTACATGGTCTATTACATATATAATGTCACAAAGGAGTATTTCAATATTAAAACATGGCGCACTGTAATACTAGAAACGGAGTGCTTAAAGTCTGGCTGTGAAATCCACAGTCAGCAGGTGCCCTGGTACCAGAGACTGATTTAGGGGCGCTCTGAAAAATAGCTCACTTTTCGTTAGGTACCAAAGGGCGGAGTTTGGACCTTAGCTTTCGGCTCCCAGCTTTGGCAAAGCGCTTTGCAATTCATTTCCTTCCTCTTTTTAGAGGCACTGCCCAGGTCCCTCCTGCGAGGCCACCCGGGAGGCCCCCCGCTGGGTCTGTGGCACTCCAGCGTGCCAGGCTGTAGCAGCACACAACACCCAGCTGTGGCCCCAGGGAGTTGCCCTGCGATTTCGAACAGCTCTGGGGTACCCCAGCAGACAGGAAACCCAAAGGTTGCACAGCTCAGTGGCTCAGCCTGCAGTTTTAGAGGGCGGGGAGGGTGGGGTCCAAATGAAGTTGCCAGGCAACAGAAAGGAATGTCCCATCCAATCGATCTCTTCTCTCTCAGGAGCGAGCCACGGCAGAGCGTGTGAACAAGCAGCTGCGGCAGCAGCTCTCGGATTACCGAGTGCCCCCTGTGCTGAAGTACGTCACTCAAAAGATGGCCATGTTTGAGCTGGAAAACAGTATCAAGATATGGGAGAGGAAGGTGGAGATTGCCGAGGTACAGTAAGACAAGCTCTCCTCCCTGAGTCCGTAGCTGAGCCAATGGTGCCTGTGTCCTCCCCTGGGCACAGCCAGGGTTTCACTTCCAGAGGGCACCTATTTGCACCCACCCACCCACAGCCTTCTGACTGTGGTGAAGTACAAGCCAGGCAGCGTGCGTGGGAGATTTGAGATGTGGTTTTAACTTCTCTAGAATAGACCAACTCAACATGCTTCCTGTTTACAAAGCTGCAGGCATGCCCTAGACTGAGACAGAGTGTGTCTAACAATTACACTCAGGCTGGAAGCCAAGAGGTTTTAAGCCAGGACCTGGTTATTAGTGAGTTAACAGGAAGCATCATCACATTATTATTATCCTGATGTTTTTCACAGCTATGAAATACAGAAGAGCACTTCTCCTCAGATCTCCCTGCTGCACAGGTGACCAGTATGGGCCTTTTCAAACACTCCTGTGCGTGAATCCTTTGAAAATGCTTTAGATCAAATTTCTGATCCTCTTCGTTTGACTGTCTCAAAGCACTGTACAAGCGTTCCTTATTAATTAATCCGTATCCCCATGTCAGGCTGCCTGGAGTAGCTGACGACTGTGAGGGCGAACCTCAGGGCAAACTGTCAAAAAGCAGGGCAGACACCCCAAACTGGTGATATGTCTTATCATTAGATTTCACCAACCTTGCAACAAGTGAGAACTCCATCGGAGTCTTACCATGGAGATACAGCCAGTGGGCAGTCCAGTTTATCTAGCCATCCTGAGAAGCTGGACAAGGTGATGGTCACTTTACACCCCAAATCACAACAATATTCATGTTACTCCCAGGCCCAAAGGATCAGTCACTTATCGCAGGCCAATTGTACTCAGATTCCAAAGACAATGCCTGTAGCCGATCCCGTAATAAAAGACTTAGTAACAAAGCAAAAGAGGCAGGTTAAAACAGGAAACACACACAAATGAGACAGTCACGTAGCGTCCTACAAGCATTCCATAAAGTCTAAATACACTGCAATCCATTTCACTGCACTAACCCCCAGGTAAGCCAGACTGGTTTCGGTTTGTCAGTGTTCAGATGGGCTGGTGCCTGTGGACGAGGGGCAGCACATGGAGCCAGTGCTGTCCATGCCAGCCACTTTCAGGAGTGGTGCAGGGTCAGGGCAGGAGTGAGCTGCCTTAACCCCACTGCTCTATCCCATGGGCAGCTGTCTGGCCCCTCCCAGGGTGGTTGGACCCACAGCCCTGCCCTCTCCAGGCCAATGCCCTATCCCCTACTCCACTCAAGAAACCAACCCCACCTCCCTACCTTCAGAGGGTCCCTTACCCTGCCTTCCTATCATGGGAGCCAGCTCCAGCCCTGGGGCAGCTGGTGTTGGATGCCAGGCTGCTACCTTGGTGGGTGGCATGGGAGAAGGGGGGAACTCCAGACCACCCCCCTGTGCTCCAGATGCTGTATCCCTCAGGGCACTCAGAGCCCACCCCTCTTCCCGCCCTTCAGAGGGTCCATTATCCTGTGTTTGCTGTCTGGTCACGCCCAGGGTGGGTGGGACCCTAACCCTTGGCAGGAGCTGATACCTGGTCTGCCAGCCTCATAGGCCAATTTGCTGATGAAGAAACTGACGCACATGAAAGTTGTGACTAGCCCAAGGACACACGGTGATTCTGGGGCCAACCTAGGAGAGGGGTCCTGAAGCTCTTGCCTAGCTTCTGCCCTGTTATGCGGTGAGAGGGGTAGAAATAAAGTAACACTGGAGGGCGCCCTTTTAACGCCTAGCATTGATTCTCCGTATTGAGATGTAAACCTGGCCCACCGTTCGTGAATTCAGACAGACAGGCATGTGACAAAACAGGCTTGCAGGTTCATAGTACCCTCTTGTCCACCCCCCGGTCACTAATGCAGAGAGATGGGCCCGAGCGGCATACTTAGATTGTAAGCTCCTTGGGGCAGAGACCAGCTTTTGTACTCTGTGTTTTTACAGCATGTGGTGCCATCGAGGGCTGGTTCAGGATGGGGCTTCTAGGCACTATGACAATACCAACAAATAATATTAAGGGGCAGCTCCACCCTGGGATTGGCACCCCCCATTCCCCCCCGAGTGTTATTCTCGGGTCCTGAAGTCGAGATCCCAAACAAACGGCTGTGTGGAATCTGAGAGCTTTCCAGGGCTTGCAGGGCTGTACCTACTCTACTGCCCTGGGTGTACAGTGCGCCCTTGGCTTACCCTGGCTCCATTTTCACTTCTGCAGATGTCCTTGCAGGGCTACCGCAGAGCTTGGAACAAGGTCAAGATGGCTAGTAACCCGCGGCGGCTTTCTCTCCCCCTGCAAGGCGGCCAATGAGAGATTTGGCCTGGAGCCAGCCACCTGAAAAATGAAGCTGTTGAATGGGGGGGATGCAGATGAGCTCGGTCTGTAAAAAGAGATGGAACCCCTTCAGCCTGATTGATAAATCCAAACCGCCCGGGTTAGGACGCCTCCATTTTGTCCAGTCCCATTTGTCTGAGAGGTTGAAGCAGGCATGGGGCTCGGTCACCCCAGTTCTTTGGTGGTGTGAATTCTCTTGGAATTCACACCTCCAGATCAGCTACTAGAAGTGGGCCTCATCCTCCCTGTTTGGATCCACCTCGTCATCTCCAGCCTGATCCTGGCCTGCATATTTATACCTGCCTCTGGACATTTCCACTACATGCATCTGGCGAAGTGGGTCTTTGCCCATGAAAGCTTCTGCTCCTACATTTCAGTTAGTCTATAAGGTGCCACAGGACTCCTCGCCGCTTTTGCAGTTTTTTGCAGGGCTCCCAGAGTTCTGAATCAGCTGTGCTGCTGAGCTTCCATTACAAAAGGAATCAGGAGACACCGGTGGGGGGAGCGGAAAGTTTAATAACCCCGAGGGAGTGCCAAGAGACAGATTAACACACTAGGTCCTTGCTGGGGCAGGAGGACAAGTCAGCGCCATGCACCTGGAGCGGGCCACGTTGCCTCTGTCAACAGCACTAAAAGTGTCGGGGAGGGGGCTGGGAATAGGCCCTGAGGAAGCCAGCCAGCCAGTCACCCAGTTGCCTCCCTACCACAGCGTCACATCTAGTAAAACAGGAGAGAAAGCAAAAGGAAAAGCGCGCTCATTTCCATGAGGGGCTGCGGCTGATGGGGAGCCTGGGCAATGGGGACCATTTCCCCGCTGTAGTAGTCGTAGTACACGGGCTCGGACTTGCTGTAAGCCCTGGCTCGCCCGTCCTGGGCTGGCTTCACGTCTTCCGCTCGCTGCCATGCTTGGCCACGGTCGGACCCACGTTCGGAGAGGCCTGCGAATTGAAATAGCTTCTCTGCTGGCTCAGACAGACCTTCCAGCGCCTCAGTCGGAGGCTGGAGAGCGGCGTGTCCTCTGGCAAACGTGGGATACACGGGGACTCCTGCGGCGGCTGTGGTGGCTGAAAGCCAGTCACTGTAATAGGCCACCTTGGTGTAGAGAAATGGCCCGTAGCACCTCATGCCACCCTGACTCAGCACTCCGTTCAGAACCCAGTCCCCAGTCTCCCTGGCCTGGCACATGACTGGGTTTCCTTGGTCCCCCTTGGGAAGAGAAGAGGCAAGTTTCAGTCACGAGGGGGCCAGCTGTCCTGCTGCCTGTGCTGTGCCACTGTTGCTCTTCCCGGCGGGGCCTCTCTACTAACCCTGCACTGGAAGGCAGACAAGTCCCACCCCTTGCTGCTGGCTCCCTGGGGGCTGGCTGCATTCATGGAGTGCAGCTCCGTTTCCCCAGCCAAAGGCCAGTGCTTGTGGTGTGACCAAGCCTCAGGACAGAGGGCAGAACGTGACGTGTGGAAACTAAGACCCGAGGATGACGCAGGTCGGGGATCTCGTGGACAATACAGGAGCTAATTGGTGCTGCAGGGGTAGTGTGATGGGAGAGGGGCCACCGGCTTTTCAGCGTTAGGGTTCCCATGTAGTTTGCACCCTGTGTCTGAATCTGCTCCTTACCAAGCACCCGGTGACGTAATCGGAGTCCCGGTGGCTGCTGCACTCGGTCGTGACGATTCTCTTCAAGGGGCACGGCTCCACGTCCACGACGGAGAGCTTCCTGAGAAAGCCGGCTGCCGCGTGGCTTCCTGGCTGAGCCAAGAAACCCAGAGATCAGAGGCCCCCCACCCAGGCTGCATTTCTTCCTACCGACAGGCCCAACCGGCTAAAGGGAGCACTGTCGGGACAGGTCCCTGCACTGCCAACTGGCTCCTCCCGGCCTCTCCTTTCACACCAGCATCGCCCCCACGCCGGACAGGTGCCCCAAAGGGTCGGACCCAAATCCATTCCCTAGCGGCTGATTGGCTTGTGCAGACTCAAACAGCGCCCAGAGTTTTGAATGCCACTCTGGAGGTTTGCCCTTCTCCAGGGGTGTAGTTTGGGGGTCAGCAGGGTGTTGCCCCCCCAGACAGGGCCAGCTTTACAGGGGAGTGTCATGGTCAGGGGGCAAAGCTTGGTGCAGTGAATGTAACGCACCAGGATGGGCACCTGCCAGCAGCCCCCCAACCTGTGATTTCTCCTCCGTGCTCCCCAGCAGCCAGCTGTTCGG